CGGCCCCGGCGGGACAAGCGGAACGACAAGTGTCACCGCTGTGGGAAGCCTGGACATTGGTCCAGGGAGTGTCGGGCAGACCAAGGGAATAACCGCGGTGCGAATTTTTCGAAGCATTCGAAAAATCCCGAAGCCAAAGATTGGAAATCGAAGGTGAACATGGTGGTCCAAATCAATGCCGTCGATTCGAGCCGAAAAGACGTCGAAGTGTCCATCGGTGGCATCCGATTCATTTTGCAGCTGGACACCGGTGCGGCGGTCACCATCATTGATGAAGCTGTTTGGCGCCAGTTAGGTTGCCCTCAGCTTACCACCTCCAATATTCAACTACGTGCTGCAAACGGTGGTCCAATTGAAGTGCAAGGCGCCTTCGACACCAATTTCGAAGTGAAGGGCATTGTCGGGCATGGCAAGTGCTTCGTCACGAAGGACATCAGGCTGATGGGGCTTGATTGGATTAATCAGCTACCCCAGTTCACTTCGTGTTTCGATGAGATGTGTGTGCACAAGGTCGCACTGAAGAAGTCCAAACTCGAGCAAGAGTTAGTCCGGAAGTACCCAAGTGTCTTCAAAGATGGACTGGGCTTGTGTACAATGGCTAAAGCTGAACTTCAGCTAAAACCGGATGCACAGCCAGTTTTTCTACCGTTCCGGCGGGTCGCCTATTCAATGGAAGCTGCCATTGAAAAAGAAATCGATCGACTTGTTGAGTTGACGGTGCTGAAACCGGTCACCTACAGTCAATGGGCGGCACCCGTCGTACCTGTCAAGAAGAAAGACGGTACAATGAGGCTTTGTGGTGACTTCTCTACCGGCTTGAACGAGGCGTTGGAAGATTTCCATCATCCTCTTCCCACTGCCGATGATATCTTCAGCAAGCTGAACGGTGGACAAGTCTTCTCGCAGATTGACTTGAAGGATGCGTACCTGCAAATTGAGGTTGAGGCTGGTAGCCAAGAGTACCTGACAATCCACACTCACAAGGGCTTATTCCAATATCAAAGGCTGATATTCGGAGTCAAGACGGCACCCGGAATATTCCAGAAGATTGTGGATAACTTGATCGCAGGCCTGGACGGGACCGCTGCCTACCTGGATGATCTGTTGATCACCGGCCGGAACCAGGAGGAGCACGACGACAGGGTCCGTCGCTTGTTTGAGCGAATCCAAGGGTTTGGATTGCGTGTCAAAATGGAAAAGTGCTCGTTCGGCCAGTCTTCGGTGAAGTATCTTGGCTTCATTCTCGATGCCCAAGGCCGGAGGCCGGATGGCCAACGCACGGCTGCGATAGCAAGTATGCCATCTCCTACCTGCCTCAAGGAAGTTGAGAGCTTCTTGGGCATGGTATCCTTCTACCAGTCCTTCATTCCTCGTATGCAGCAGATGCGCGCCCCGTTGGACGAGTTGAAGAAGAAGGACACCAAGTTTGTCTGGCATGAGGGCTGCGAAAAGGCTTTCCAGTCGCTCAAGGAGATAGTAATCTCTGATCTCTTGCTCTGCCACTATGACGCCAAGCTACCCATCGTCGTCGCCGCTGATGCCAGTGAGCAGGGTCTTGGGGCGGTCATCACACACAGATTTGCGGATGGGTCCGAGAAGGCCATCGCGCATGCCAGCAGGGCATTGACTGTGGCAGAGAAGAATTACAGCCAGATCGAAAAAGAAGGCTTGGCCATCATTTTCGCGATTCGGCGCTTCCATCGATACATCTATGGAAGGCGTTTCGTGTTACTGACGGACCACAAACCTCTTTTACCCATCTACGGGTCGAAAAAAGGCATTCCGCAGCACACCGCAAATCGATTGCAACGGTGGTGCTTGTTGTTGAACAACTACGATTTCTCCATCGAATATCGTAACACGACCAAGTTCGGTCAAGCGGATGCACTTTCCCGTCTGATTCCGCCGAGAGCTGAACCTGACGAAGACGTCGTTATTTCGCAGATAGAAATCGATGTGTCGGCAGTTTTTCGAGGAGAAACTCAGCCGAGTTCCAATTTCGCACAAGGAGATTGCATCTCAAATGGAGCAGGACTATGTCCTTGGCTCGGTGATTGACTATCTGAAAAGTGGAAACTTCCCAGATTGTTTGCCAGGATCGGCATTGTACGCCTTCAAGAGCATGGCGTCCAATTTGTCAGTTCACCGAAATTGCCTGTTTCTGAAGGAACGTGTTGTCGTCCCGAAACGGCTTCAAGCACGTGTCCTGAAGATGCTCCACGAAGGTCATCCTGGCCAGACCAGAATGAAACTACTTGCGAAGCAGTACGTCTATTGGATCGGCATGGATGCAGACATCGACCGCACCGTCAAAGGATGCGAAGGCTGTCAGAAAGCCCAGAAGATGTCTACCAAGTGTGAACTGACCCCGTGGCCTGCACCCAATCGTCCCATGGAGCGCGTGCACATCGACTACGCCGGCCCCATCGATGGAAGGATGTACCTGGTCGTCGTCGATGCCTTCTCTCGTTGGCCGGAGATCCACGATTGTAAGGTGGCGACGAGCCGTACGACGATTGCCCAGTTGCGAGATATTTTCGCCAGGTTCGGAGATCCTGAAACGCTCGTTTCGGATAACGGGACACAGTTCACTTCGAAGGAGTTCGAAGAGTTCTGCAAGGAGCACGGCATCAAACACATGCGCACGCCACCGTTCCACCCTCAATCGAACGGTCTGGCTGAACGTTTCGTTGATACCTTCAAGCGAGCCCTCAGCAAGGCTCCGGGTTCGGCGAACTCGGAAACGTTGCAAATCTTTTTGCGAACGTACAGAGCCACTCCTTGCCCCTCTTCACCGCAACAGTTATCTCCGGCGGAGATGTTCATCGGGAGAAAACTTGGGCTCTATACCGGTAACGGGGTCCTTAAAAAAAATAAGGGTCCTTAATAAAAATAAGGGTCCTTAAAAAAAATAAGGGTCCTTAAAAAAAATAAGGGTCCTTAATAAAAATAAGGGTCCTTAAAAAAATAAGGGTCCTTAAAAAAATCAGGGTCCTTAGAATTTCAGCTTAAGGACCCCGGTCCCGACAGGGGTCCTTAAAATAGATGCTATTTTTAAGGACCCCGATTCCGGCAACTCCCGAAAATACAGTATTTTCACCGATTTTGAACAGATTGTCCCTCGTTTAGCCATTTACATTACGCGGCTTTCTTCGCACAGTTTGTGCCTAAAATAAGGCTTCGTGCCACCCCGGGGCCTAGTCGCTTCGGATGGGCGCGAGCTCGTACAGGGTTTCGAAATCGGGGCGCCCGAGGCGCGCAGCGGCCAGGCGCTCCGATTTCGAAAGAGTGAGCGGCAGCCCATCCGAAGCGACGGCCCGCCTTGCCTGACGCGCCATAAGCCTCAAATCGTGCTCATCCCCACAGAAACTTCCACGCAATCTGACGTGCTAGGTTTTTTTAGCCAGGGACAATTCGAGGCTTAGGGTGTGTCAGGCAAGGTGGGCCGTCGCTTCGGATGGGCTGCCGCTCCACTCTTCCGAAATGGGGGCGCCCCCGGCCGCTTCGCCGGCCTTGGCGCCCCCATTTCGAAACCCTGTACGAGCTCGCACCAATCCGAAGCGACTAGGCCCCGGGTGGCACGAAGCCTTATTTTTAGGCACAAACTGGGTGTAATTCAAAATGCGAAACAAAGGACAATCTGTCGCGAATCCGCGTCTCCGCGAAAACGGCGCAAATACTGTATTTTCGGGAGTTGCCGGAATCGGGGTCCTTAAAAATAGCATCTATTTTAAGGACCCCTGTCGGGACAGGGGTCCTTAAGCTGAAATTCTAAGGACCCTTATTTTTTTTAAGGACCCTTATTTTTTTTAAGGACCCTTATTTTTATTAAGGACCCTTATTTTTTTTAAGGACCCTTATTTTTTTTAAGGACCCCGTTACCGGTATAGAACCAAAACTTGTTACTCCGATTGCGCGTTTGGCTCTTCCATCGAGCAACGGCAATATCCAAGTCGTTCTTCAAAAGGAGGGGAAGACGACGATGGTCGAACAGTTCAACCGACGTCACGGTGCTCGCAAGAGATCGTTTGAGATCGACGCCACGGTTTGGGTTCGCGACTATCGAAAGCCGAACAAACCAGCCTGGGTCGAAGGGCGTATTTCCAAGCTACTTGGAAAGTCTCTGTATGAGGTTGAGCTTCCCTCTGGAGATTCCTGGCGCCGACATGCCAATCAGCTGCGTCGTCGATACGTTCGAGACGTATTGCACGATATTCTGGATGAATTCGATCTTCCCAGTACTGATGTCAATGTTCCAGCTGCCGAGCCCGTGCCTCCTGTTGACCATCACCCCGCTATTCCAGCTACGCAAGGACAAGCTCGTCCAGGACAAGAGCAAGCTGCTCAGTCCCGCAAGACCCGCCTCGACAAGTTGCAAGAACTTGGCCCGGTGCTGGATGGAAAACGACAGCGCAAGAAGACTGTCCGCTTTCAAATCTGATGTGCCCCGATTCGACCACTTATCGACCACCTCAAGCTCAACTCGTCCAAGTCCAGCCGCCCACAAGCGCTCATCTTTTTGAAGGAGGGAGATGTTGGAGGATCACATAACTAATCCGAATTCCTAATTAGCATTATATGTATATTAATCTATTTCCGGTTCGGTGTTCCCCATTTTCGTTTTCTCCCCCTCATTTGTCTTGTTTTGTTCCCACACCGATTGGTTGTCCCTGGAATAAACCTACTGCCACGTCCTCCACCCACGACTACAACAGTTAATAAATATAATTTTTACCTCTTTTCTCCTTGCCATAAAAACAGGGCAGCGGCTACCGTAATCAAAATTTGAGCGCATTTTTTAGAAATCGTTCCGGCCGCCAGATTTAGAGGTAGGAAGATAGAGGTTAACACAATGGCATTAATGAGCAGAAAGTGATGATGCTGCTGTTTTTCTGAAACACATTTTTTTCCAAAAAAAGGTAAATTTTACCTGGGCTTATTTTTCGTGTGGAATAACCCGCAGACGCAATCCCAGCCACGAATTGCCACAATCGGCCAACCGGCTCATAAAATGCGGCAATTTCGGTGGCTTGGATACTGTAGAAGAGGGCAAGAGCAAAAGCAACGATCACGATCGGCTTGTTAATCGATCGGCCTAAAATTTGCTAATTCCTTAGCTTTCCTAAAACACATTTTTAGAAATTCGTAGTTCTAATTTTATGCAGCCTTTTTGGAAAAGCGATGCTGTATCATTTTAGGTACGAGTCGGCCCAATCCGGATTTTTAAGTAGTTTAATATAGTGTTTTTAGTAGTTTTTCGTCGCTAAGCCGTTATAAGAACAGTTTATTACTTGAAGAAAATAGAGATTTACAGTTCAGCCGTTTGCCGTTTGGAAAGATTTTGACAAAAATCGAAATTTATCGAAATTTAATGGATCTTTACGAAATATCAAAATAGAGTCCTAATCAAGTTCTGACGCCGATTAGGGCCCCAGTGCGCCGGCTCTCGGAAGGTTGAGTCGAAACACTTTCTTTTTCGGAATGGAAATTTTGGGTTTTCCTGGACCCTTCCTCATCGATATATCATGGATCTGTATTTATACAACATCTCGAATGTTCAATTCGAGAGTTATGAATTTCTTTTTAAACATTGTTGCAAAAAAACAAGTGGAAAAACGTAAAATCGCTAGACCCCGCATGAATGGTTCAAGGAATAAATGCGGAGGCACATTAAGGAATTATACTTGAAGACTTAAAGTATTTTATTTAAAGCATATTTCTTCAAATAGGGTTTTCGGCTAGGAAAAATCTAGTGTCTTTTTTTCTAGTCACATTGATAGTTAGCTTCTTCTCGTAGAATAATAGCCCAATTTTAGAAGATTTTAAAACGTTTTCCCGTTCTGAATTATAATTGTTACCTCTAATCTCTATCTTCCCCAAAATAAAAAGTAACGGAGCAACCAGATAAAATTGCATTTCCACCGCCAACGACCAAACATGCAGAAATGGCAATTTTGAGGTGTCCTAAAAAATGTTTCAAGTTATTATAGGTGGATTTCCAACCTCAGCGAAATAATCGTCCGCATCCCTGGCCATCCCAAAATTCAACAAAAATAACAGCGCTAAATTATATTTGGCAAAGTATCGTTTTGCCCACGGCGCTGTATATGCAAATATCATGGCAATGCCTGAATTTTTAAGGTATAAAAGTTACCTAAAATTTACCTAAAATGGCCATCACGAGAAAATACAGAGGGCATATTCTTTTTAGTCTTTTTCGATAGAATTTGAGGGTCAATAAATATGATTTTTGCTCTTTAGATTCGAGAAGGATACGTTGGATTAAGTAGCCGGAAATGACGAAGAATCTAAAGGTTTTGGAATCAGAGAGAGAGAGAGCGAGAGCGAGAGCGAGAGAGAGAGAGAGAGAGAGAGAGAGAGAGAGAGAGAGAGAGAGAGAGAGATAGAGAGAGAGAGAGAGAGAGAGCGAGCGAGAGAGAAAGAGCGAGAGAGAGACAGAGACAGAGAGATAGTGCGAAAGATAGAGAGCGAGAGAGAGAGGGAGAAAGAGACAGAGAGACAGAGAGAGAGAGAGAGACAGAGAGAGAGAGAGAGAGAGAGAGAGCGACAGAGAGAGAGACTGCGAGAGAGTGAGAGCGAGAGAGTGAGATCGAGAGATGGAGAGATTTCGAAATTCTTTTAAAAACTCACAAATCCACCCCAAGATATCCATTCGGGAAGAAGTTCGGCCAAAAATGATAGCCAAGCACCGCCAAAATTGCCACAGCCCGTAAGGCGGCAATATCGTGCCGAAATTGCCGCATTTCTTAAAAAACACGGTTTTGGAATAAAATGGACAAAATTATAAGGGGAATTTGCTAGTGAATTAGATCAATTAACATGTTTTTAAAGAAATACGGCGGAATTCGGAACAATAAAGAGTGCCGAAATCAATTTGGCGCCCCGAGGCGTCAATTCCTTATCTTTTTCTGGGCCCAGACCATGGGGGTATAAAACTTTAATGACACGGCTGGAGCCTTTGGATGGGCAATCAAGAAAATTGTATTGGATATTCGAAATTTTAAAAAGTATGTTTTGCCTCATGAACATGTCTTTTCTTTAATTGGCTGCGCAGTGGAAGGCTCACCTTCATTTTTTCTAAAAATCATTTTTCCCAAAGTTCATCTGTCCTAAAGTTTATCATTAAAATTGGGATGCGTGAATATTTGAAGAAAGGCCAGATGCTCTTATTTTTGTTGATACTTTTTCACTTCTAATATAGTTGAATCTAGACTAAACGCTTTCCTAAAACCATAGTAAACTATACAAAAGAGCTGAAGCCTTTTCGATGTGGAGCCGGTTTCAGGAAAAATGATTCTCAGAAATGATATTTTTTGAAACATGAGTTGAGGAAAAATGACAGTAATTCCATCCCAAGTATCGCCAATTTTTTCAAATTTTCCAGTTTTCAAAAATTCTGGAGTTAGAGGTCTCATTCTAAAGAGAACATTTACCTGTATGCGTTGGCTAAATGTATTTTTTGCAAAATCTGCCGGGACGATCAAAATAATCGAGTCCTAGGCTCGATGCCTTTGGCTAAAGAATCGCTCTAAACCTTGAATATCTCTGGGTTTAAAGCTCTGTAGAAAATTCGTCGAACGAGGTGATGATTATTTATGCTGTTTTTAACCTTTAAATTCTTCTATCTGTTTGCAAATTTTCAGAAAAATTTGAGTTACGGGTTTTTTTAATAACTGAACCCCCTGAAAATAATTTTTGTATAATCGCCTGTGCCTAGGGCCAGCTGCTTTTGTTTATTCCATTTGCTCGTCATCTAAAAACATCTCTCACAGCAATTTTTAAAAAAAATTATGTTTCGGTGAAGGAACATGTTTAAGTGATTTGGCCAAATCCCATTGATGACGATTGCAATTCGCAAGTTCGAAACTATTACTAAAGAAACACCAAAGAAAAAATTGTACTCGAAATTCGACACCGCCTTGAAGCTTCGATTTTGGGATTTCCCCAAGAAACTCTGCAAATTGAGCACCTTCTGCGAAAACCTCCCACCTAGAAGATTTTTAAAAAGACATGTTACTTCGACAAAACCCGATCGGGGAGATTTTTTTTCAATAATTGCGCTGTAGGCTTTGATTTCGTAATCGATCGCAAAAATACCGCCATCAATGCCTTGCCATATCAATTTTATTGCGCGAAAAATTACAACCACAGAAATGGGGTGCATCGATCACAGGTGACAGGGCGCGAATCGGGCGGTTAAAAGTTGAAAATATAGGCGTTAAAGGGACACGTCACTTTGAAAGGCATGAAAAACACTTTTCTAAAAAAAGCAGCCAAAAGTGGTTTGTGCCTTTAAAACCCAAGAATAACTAGAAGAGACAACATCGCGACTAGTAAAATCGAAGCAAAGAACAGGGCTAGGCAACGTCCAAAAAAACCAAAAAAGACAGGCCACACGGCAAAAGGACGACATTTTGAGAGTACGGTACCGTACGTCGCAGAAAATTACAGTAGTACGGTGGTGACGATAGAGTAGTATCTTACGGTAGAATACAGCACGGTATGTACGATACGGTAACAAGCCACGTTAATAGTACGGCCCTGTACGTTCCATTAAACTATCTGGAGTAGTACGGAGACACGTTACGCTACGCTACGTTACATCATGGTACGTTGCAGTAGCGTACGTTACGCTACGTTACAGTTCATAGGCAAAACCGTAAAAATGAAACCATGGCTACGGTACGGTACCGTACGTGCAAAAATTACAAATCACGTATATATTAAATTACGATATATACGTTACGCTACACTACAGTACAGTAAAATACAGTAAGGATAAAGCGGAAAGAAGGCAACGTTAAGTGGATATTGGTGGTATTGCTGGCAGGCGGGGGGTATTCTTTGCAAAGCCAAAAAATGACACTCGATACAACTGAAGACAGACACCGGAATTTTCGTAGTGATATTAGTAATTATGTGCAGGCCAAAAAAGGCGAAATACAGTAGGATACAAACACAGCAAAAAAGCAGTAAAAACGGGTTATAAAATAGAAATTTATAGAAATTTCCGTGAGTGTACTGTACCTTGGGGCGGTAAATAGGAAATAAAATTTCATTAAATCCAGAAAAATTGATAAAATTGTGATAAATTTTTCTTTAGAGAATTTGGTTTAAAATCGATAAAACTATTTGAAGGGAATTTAATTAAAGAAAACAGTCAAAATCAGTTTTACCTAATTAAATTCTCAAAAATTATAAAACTACGCAATGGGAATTTAAATTTAATAAAATCGCCAAATCCGCCTTAACACATTTTCTAGAATTTAATTTAAAAATTCGATAACACCATTTAATGAGATTTAAAGCAATTTTTGGGGACCTAGCTTGGCCTTTATTAATGTGTTAAGGCGAAAATTCTATACCTCGCACCTTGAAACCTATTTTTTTCAAGAACCCCTAATCTCTGCGATTTTAGGCCCCAAAATACAGTACTCTGCCCCGGGTAATTAATGAAACAAAAAGGTGCGCAAGGATCCCGGCCTCTCATTTGATGGTCTTCGACATCTCTAGAATTCGGGCCAACTCCTCGTCGTCGCTGTCGAGCTGTTGGCGGCGTTGTTCATCTTCGGCCTGCGAGATGCGAAGGGCGCGGGCCAGGTCATCCTGGAAAAACCGATTTATAGGGTACTGTAAGCTAAAAATATTAGTATTCACTGGGATTAATAAAAATGAAGCAGAATATACATACCAAAAATACTAAAATAACTTTTATTTATTTTTATGTTCATTTTCTAAAATTGCAGATTCTACTAAAATAGCATGAGCATAAAAGAAAAACGTTGTAAATGTCGATTCTGTAAAATTCATATGTTGCTTCTAGAATTTTTCGAACCTATTAAAATAAGATAATAATTAAGACCCCAAGTATACATACAAAAATAAAAAAAATACCTCCAGCGCGTTGTTCGCCAACATTTGAAAGGGGGCGACCACCTGCTGCTGCTGCTGGTCGGCCTCACCCGCATTTCCATTGTTCAGGCGCAGGCTTTCCTGAAAAAAAATATAGAACGTGTTTCGGAAATGTAACCAGCAATTTAAGGAAACTTCCAATTAATTGTTCGTGCTCTTTCGTTTTAAAAATTATAGTAATCACCTGTATCGCCATGGCCAGCTGCGCGTCCTCGCCGTTGTAGGCAAATGGGATTTTATCTAAAAAACATATATTTAAACCGAAAAACCAAAAACAAAACACGGAAATTCACGACAAAAACCAACCAATCGGAAAAGCGACAGCTCCGCCGGAATCGGGAAGGCCAGACCCTTGGCCCGAATCGCTGAGACTTTGCTGGATGGCCAGTTGTAGGAGCATCTCCTCTTGCTGCTCGGCCGAATCTGAAAATTGACACTGGAAAAAGCGTAGTGATGTGGAACCGGAAATTGGATAATTTTGGGCTAGCCTGGTTCTTTAATTCGCAATTTTTTTCCTTGGCGGCCCCCGCTTGGCCTAGGAAACGAATATAAAGTGTACTTATAAATCTTTGTTTTTTTTATTAAGTTTTATTTATATTCATAGCATAAAAACTTTAAATCATAGAAAATTTTTTGAAAAACTCGAAAATTGGAAATTTGGAGTTGAAAAAAATTTTGTACCTAAAATCCAAATTGTTAAAAATTTCGTTTTAAAAACTTTCTTTCAAAAAATCGTTTTTATTAAAAAAAATGTTTTATGAGGAATCCTCTACCGAGTAATATCTAGACGGCCAATGAGTGACCGGAGTTCGGTGGACATAATATTGCCTTTACCGAAAACTAACCCAAAAAATGCCAAATTTACGAAATTAACCACTAGAGCGTCATTTTTTACCAAGTTATTTGGAATTCATATCTTCGTAGTCTCGTAGACAAATTCACTTAACAAAACCCACATAGATGACGCTGTGCCGGTGGATGCGGGGCAGTCCGTTGGTCCGGTTCGCGATCCCACCATCCGGCCGCCGCATTCTCATCGTAGGAACGGTAGCCGGCGGGCACCTCGAACACCACGTCTTCGATCGTCACCGGGCTGACCACCCCGCCAATGTCCTGAAAGTTTCAAAATAATTCAAATTAAAGGGATTTGCCATCATTTCGTCAAAAGACCATTCATTTTCCGTCGAAATTTAATTGTGCTGAAATTTCAATTTGAGAAATGCCTGAGATGAAAACTCGACGCGAAAAGGCATTGAAATTTCGACAAACTGATATTCCAATTAAAACAATGGTGTTTTGACGAAATAAGTTTCGACAGACTGAAACTTCGACAAAATGAGATTTCGACAGCTCTCGACGAGGTGATTTCAGAATTTTCAGTATTTTTAGATTTTTTTTTGCTTCCACCAAAGGTTTTCGATTTTGGGAAAATATGTTTCAGCCGAAAATCTTGCGCCGAAAAAATACGCCTCAATATTTATTTATTATTGGAAGGTGGCATCAAAAATCTAACAAACCTCTCCCAACGGTGTCACATACGGCCCTGGCTTGTTGATGTTGCCGAACGTGATTTTGGCGCTGACCTAAATTAAAATAAATTACAAATTCGTGCTCTAGCTCACCACATGGAAAAGCGGAATCTCGATCTTGGCGGGGAAGCCGGCAGGGAGTTGGAGGCGGATAAAGTTGTTCAACCGGGCAAAATGCGCCGAATTCGAGGCCATCAGGTCGACGATCGGGATCACTTGCTCCTAAAAGGCCTTGTTTTCAACGAATAAATTTATAAAATAGTAATAAAGCGGAATCAAAATCCTTTTCGTTTAATGAATAAATTTATATAAATAGTACTAAAAAGGCACAAAGTTACTGTAATAACTTTGAAATTTAGAAAACTGTACCTGCAGCTGCAGCGGATAGTCCTCGGCCAGCCACAGCGTCGCCTTGAACGTGTTCGACTTCCGGCAGATTTGCTTGGCTTTTCCTACAAAAAAAAGTGTTTAAAAACACAATAAGCCTACCAATATCACATTGCAGGTCGAAATCCTTGTCCAGGTATTCGGCAACGGTGATTCCGCCTGAAAAACAGAATTATGCTTTTTCAAGATTCATTTTCTAGAGTAATAACTTATTTCTTAGGGTCCAATTTTTTAAATATAATAGTGTAAGTGCTTCTAAACGGTTTTTCACTTATCAGAAAGGTGAAAACGTTATGAAATTTTATTAAAAACTATCAAAACTATAGATTTTTCAGCCAAAATTAGACGATTTTTACCAAAATTTCGATTGTTACGTTTAAACACTTTTTATGTGGCTTTTCTTAATCAAATAGCGTTCTATTTTACCAATAATTCATAATGAAAATCCCACCCAAATGGTCGGCCGATTGTGGAGATTCCATGGCCGTTTCGCTCCGCACCATTTTCAGCACCGAAGAAAGTGGGTGAGAGTCGGACTCCTAGAAAATGACGTAATAAATAGAACATCTAGTTTATCTCGAGAAAAATGACAAATTGTAAAGTTAAGTGACCTGCTTCAATCGAGCCTTATCTTCAGTGGACAAATGCTCGAGCCGCTGCTTCGTCACCAGATCCACGTTCGATGCGTTGAACACCTGAAAAAAATAATCCGCATGAATGCAGCTTGCGCATTATGGGTCAGAAATCGGTAAAATCCTTGGAAAAAGCTGAAACACACCTACCTTACAGTCATACCCGTCCACGTTCTCTGTTCTCTCCGACGAGGCGATCCACGAGAAAAACCCGCCGCCCTTCGAGCGCTCGAATCCGATCTTGTCGACATCGATGTAGGTGGTGGAAATTGGCTCGCTCATCCTGAAAGCTGGTTTTATTAAATTAACACTTTAAACGCAAAAATAACTGTTTTTGACCACGATTTACAACGAAAAGTGGTTTTCGTACTATCGGGGGAGGGGGGAGGGCTAGTAACATAATAGGCGTATTTGAAAAATGCCTTTTAGCAAACAAAGCTATATTTCAACTAGAAAAAACTTTCAAACATCCTTCAAAAAGCGGAAATTTTCGTCAAAAACGCCCATTTTTGGTCGAAAATCTATATTTTTCGCATTTTTCATGAAAATTTGTACCGTTTATACGTTAGTGATTAGCAACAAACAATTTAGAAACACTCCCTCCATTTATAATTGAAAAATCGGATCGCAATAACCCCCCCCCTCCCGATAATGCGAAAGAACCGGAAAAGTTACTGTAAGACACCCCCTACTTACCTAAAAGTAATCGCCTCCTCCGGCGGATCGTAATCTTCGAGCTGGTCATCGTCGGTGATCCTTTGGCATGTCGCCTAAAATGTAAAAATTTAAGCAGTTTTGCCTTTCTACCACCAAAAACTACCACCTATAAAAACCATACCGATTGCGCGTTGTGGTCCATGATGATGAGCTGTGGTACGTCTTGCTCGGTTAACCTAAAAAACATTAAATTTTCGTGAGATTTCTCTGACCTAAAAATGAAGGTCTGATTCCCGCGCTTCCAGGAGGTCCCTTCAAAACCGACGAGGGTAGTATCGATTCGGACCGACGAGCCGCTTTTGTAAATCTAAATAATTTAGAAATTTCGTTCGTATTCAAAAAATGTTACCTTATAAGTATCGCTCGGGCACATCCGACTCACAAAGGGGACCCACGAGGAGAATTCCCAGTTCATTTCCGCGTAGAAATCGGGAGTATCCTGAAAAATCGATGTTTGAGGTTTTCTCAACTTTAAAAAGCATTTTCGTACTTTTAATCGGCCCAGACCATGTCACGAAAAACCACCAACTTTCAACTTTTTGAGGGTAGACCGCATGGAGCGGGAGGTCTTTAGACTACGCTGATGATCGCGGTGCTTGATGACCAGTCGGATGAGATCGGGATCGCATGAAGAAACGGCCTCGTGGCTAACTGACCACATTCCTGAAAAGTCAGGCTGTATTTTTATTCTTTTTTTCATTTCAAAAAATCCTGCCGTAGCCGATCAACCAAATATAAAGCAAAAAAATCTATAAAACGTAAAAAATATACCCTTATTTTGCGAGTCAGCATCGGCTCCTCGCAACAGCAGCTCTTTCGCGCAGGCTGTGTGCCCCAGCGAAACGGCTAGCATCAAGGGGCTCCTCCCACGGCAGTCCAGCTTGTCGAGGTCGATCTAAAAAGAAAAGGATTTTTTGCTAAAAAAGAGCCGTTTTTAGTAACAATCGAGTTCCGACAGGGACGCAGAAGTTTGCGCTGATTGCAAACGGAGTTTCAAAATCTGCAAAACGACGGTATCAAAATTGAGGAAGCTTTTCAGTGCGAAAAAGGCCCAAAATGGCCTAATTTTGAGAAATTTTTGACTTTTTCGTATTGAAAAGCTTCATAACTCACAGGTCTTGGAAACAGATTAAAAATTAGCGCAAAATTCTGCACTAGGTAGGCATTGCCCCGTTTCGAACTCGATTGTCGCGATTTTAAAAAAGTCTATTTGTAAGTATGTTTCACCGAAAAACCACAAAAGAAAAATGTCGTAATTGGGCGAATTCCATTTGGGCTTCAATAAAAGCTTACCTCTCGATTGGCATCGAGAACCCCTCGCAACCCGTCTAAATCGTTCCCGTATACGGCCCAATGGATGGGGAACTCGCGCTGCAAGTCGGAGAGGGACATCCCTGTAAGAAAGTTATAGAAAGGCACTGAAATCCGTGAAATCGAGCTGAGAAAACGACAAAACGAATTTTAGGAAGTTTTACATTTTTCCGTACGTAAAAAGGTTTTGTATAAAAAAGTTGAAGCAACGGAATACACCTATGGTCGAAACTCGTCCAGATTGTGGCAAGGAAATGCCCGGAATATCGGATTTTTCGAGGCTTTTCCCAGTCTTCTAGGACTTTCATAAAACCATCTTCTGAAAACTTTGCGAGCGTAATACGTAAAAGCATAATAGCGCAGAAAAATGAACTCTGTCTCAATTTCTAGAAGTTTGTGGAATGAAACGCTGCACGTCGCTGAAAATGAATTCTGGCGCAACAGGTTGCACCTATGTACGCTTTCCGTCAAGGTTGTAACGCGGAATCAAGTTCTTTTAGAGAAATTCTAGCGATTTCTGCGGCTAAAACGTTGTAAACTTCCATTAATTCGAAAAATGATCTTCCGGAATAAAATATAGTTTTTCATCAAATTTTCTTTCGCAAAACTTTCCGCCAAGAAAAGTAATGTCAACGCAAGTCAAAAAAATTGAAAAAAAGTTACATGACGTATGACACCTATAGACAAAGTCCGTAAATGTTGTAACACGGAATCAAGTTTTTCTAGAAATTGTAGCGATTTGTGCAGTTGAAAGTTCAAAACTTCGATTCATACGAAAAAAATAATCTTCCTGAATATAGCAGCTTTGCCTCCAATTTTCTTTCGCAAAACTTTCCGCCCAATGAAAAGTATTTCGGCATGAAAAGCCCGGTGCCAGCTGATTACCCGCTGCAACGGCCGACTACAAACAACACGGGCGAGGGGGCGGGGAGGAGCAGAGGCCGCGAATGTCTCTCCTTCTCTCTTTCTCTGCGCCCGCTCTCTCTCCCCCTCTCGGCTCCATCTGCCCGCCCTCCCTCACTCCGATTGTCTCCCCCTCTTCTATACGACTTTGCTCGGGTTCTCTCTCTAGATATCTTTCGCTTTCGACTTCAAACTTATGATTCTCCCCTTTAGCGCTTTTAAAGGGACCGGTAACCCAAAACGGTTTTTGCGTGTTTTGCGTCCCTGCTTCTGTTATTTTGTAAAAGGCCTGCTAAAATGTGAATATCACTAGAAATTCCTCTGGATTTACACGTTTTAAAGCTTCTCTTTAGTTAAAATGATAGTTGAACCACTTTTACCGGCTGTTTGTAATTAGCTTTTGGGGTTGGGGTTTTGAATTTATATTTTTCATGGTCTGGATAACTATTTTTTTCGGTTTTTTTAGTTACCTCTTGCAGCTTTACGTTTTATTTCCTCGTCAAATCTATCTTTTTTGATAGTATGGATTAATCTACCTGTTTTTCTTTCGATTTCGGTGGTTTTTTTACGATTCTATCTCGATTTTTCAGAAGATGGCAACCCCAGCGGAACAAGCAGCTGCCGAGAAGACCCTCGGAAACGACTTCTATAAGGCCAAGAACTTTGCTCAGGCCCATGAGCACTACGACAAGGCCATCGAGCTCGATCCTTCCAACATCACCTTCTACACCAACAAGGCCGCCTGCTACTTTGAGGAGCAGAAGTTTGACGAGTGCATCGAGCTCTGCAAGAAGGCCGTGGAAATCGGACGCGACAACCGTGCCGACTACACGCTGATCGCGAAGGCGATGGCCAGGGCCGCAAATGCGTACCTGAAGAAGGGCGAGAAGAAGGAGGCTCTAACCTGGTTCCAAAAGTCGCTCTCCGAACACCGCGACCAGGACCTCGTCAAGAAGGCCAAGACGCTCGAGAATCAGATCAAGGACGAGGAAAAGCGCGCCTACATTAACCCGGAGTTGGCCGATGAGGAGAAAAAGAAGGGTAACGAGCTCTTCAAGAAGGGCGACTACCCGTCGGCGATGAAGCACTACAATGAGGCGGTCAAGCGCGATCCGGATAACGCTGTGCTCTACTCGAACCGCGCCGCCTGTTTGACGAAGCTGATGGATTTCCAGGTAAAATTTTGCTTTATGAATTTCCGTTATCTATCCAACACGATTTTTGGTTTTTTGGCTCTCTTCTTGCTCCCACCCACCGTGCTGGGGAGGTTCTTTCCCTTACTGTTCTTACATCCTTCCCTTCTTTCTTAGTAGTTTTTGTTATTTCAAAACGTAAAAACCTTCCTAGAAAAAATTTTCTGAATAATTTTTGTAGAATTGTTATGATTGTCAGGACATTTCTAGCGACCTGAAATCTTAAAAATTAAGAGAAACGCCTCGTAAATCCTGGGTTTTCCCTTTAGCTTTTTTGAAATCTAAACTTGTTGGAATTTTGTAAATCTTTTCCCATTTAGGAATGAATTTTTATGATTTACTTTATTTTTCAGCGTGCTCTCGATGACTGCGACCAGTGCATCCGCAAGGACAAGACCTTCATCAAGGGCTACATCCGAAAGGGTGCCTGCCTGATCGCGATGCGGGAGTACTCGCGTGCCCAGGACGTCTACCACCAAGCGCTCAGCATTGACCCGTCGAACGCTGAAGCCAAGCAGGGCATCCGCCAGTGCCTGGAGAACGAGCCGGCCTCTGCCGGAAGCTCGGACGGCGTTCGCGAGCGCGCCATGAAGGACCCGGAGGTTATGGAGATTCTGCAGGACCCGGGCATGCGCCTCATCCTCGAGCAGATGAGCCAGGACCCCGGTGCCATCCGCGAGCACCTCGCCAACCCGGAGGTCGCCAAGAAGATCATGAAGCTCCGCTCAGCCGGTGTCGTCCAGATGCGTTAATTCTCTCAAGCTCCAACCCATTCCCCGCCTCCAATCATTGTTATTTCCGACGTTTTTGGCTTGTTATGATCTTGTTTTTCTGTGGCAATTCCATCAATACTTCTACCTTTTGGTACGTGTATCAGTTTTTTAAAATCTCTGGGTTACTCTCTCGGCTTTTCGATTTGTAGTCACACACCCCGTCCATTCCGGTGATTGCCCAGTTACAACCGTTTCTCCCGTTGATGCTTGATTTTCATTACGTGTCCTCTTTTTTAAGGCTTTTTAAATAAACAAAATTTTAGCAATGAACGAGCCCGGTACTTCCGTTCAAGAGGACGACCATTTGGATGAGGATGTGAAGCCAGAGGTTAATTCGAAGTTTCATTTTCATATTTTTTTGTTTAGATCAACGCCCTCTTCCAGCAGATCCAGGATGAAGAGACGGATGACTATTCGCGCATCGACGGCTCTCACATTTTATTCGGAGCCTCACATGAGCCAGATGTAAGATTTTTGCGGCGATTTTTTCCAATTTTTTGCGCTTTGAGGTCCGCAGCGTACTATACAACGAGCCGCCCTACAAGAAAGCAAAATTTGGGGAGACCGATCGGACTTGTCAGGTATTTTGGTGACTTCTGGAGACGTTTCAAATGTTTTAGGTATGCTTCAAGTTGATGACAGCTCGCCGGGCACCAAGTCAATATATGGCCCACGTTATCACACATCTGGAGACGAAGAGCTGGGCTTGCACTGGTAAGTTTTAAGACGTTTTTTCCGCTTTAACTTTAATTTTTGAAAAAGTACACGATTTTTTCAGAATGTGGCCTGGAGCTTCCTTCCGAAAACGAGATCGTCGCTCACTGCATCAACGACCACGACGGCAAGGGGCAGGCCATGGCGGGGAAGTAAGATTTTTCTACAACTTTTCGGCTTTTCTTGCCGTCGACACTGGGATACTGTAGTCCTCAAATTCCCACTCTGGCCATCCTATAGATCGTCGTGAATTCCGATTTACCCTCGAAATCAATTGGTAGTCGGGGGAGCGCTTGTGCATTAGAGAGGCTGCCAAGATGACTGGAAAGCGCGAGACTGCCAAAATAGAGACATCAGAGGGGTAGAGGGAGGGAGAGCTTCTTTGGGCCCATGTTGGCAGGAGAGCATGCGCATTGATGAGAGGCAGTGAGAGAGAAAATGTGTTAGGGTTAGAGAGAGAAGAGTGAGGAGAGAGAGAGAGAGAGAGAGAGAGAGAGAGAGAGAGAGCGTGAGAGGGAAGCAGACATTCCACCAGGGGTGAAGATCGATTTCCTTTCTAGCCATCTGGCATAGTGATGAGGGTTGTTGGGGAGGGGCAGAGAGCGGGAAAAGGGATAGCGACGATAGAGCACAGGGTTTTGAGAGACCGAGAGAAGGAGAGAGCCGAGCGGCAAGGGAGAGGTCGACGGCCTCTTCTCCCACCAGTCTAGAAAGGGGAAAGAGGGACAGGGGGAAGAGAGAAGCAGAGATCAATTGGCAGAGGGGTATGTAGGGGAAGGGAGGGATGGGGCGGAGAGTGTGGGGCAGAATGAGAGGCGCTGAATGCGAGAGCAGTGGGAAGGCAAGGACGGAGAAAGAGCGATGTGGGCAGACAAACGAAGGGATGGGGTTGGCGGCCGCGCCAGGGCCTGGGCGAGAGATAGCGAGGACTGGAGAGATTCCAGTTTGCTCAACCGGTTGGAGAGTGTTTACTGCGAGAGGGAGCCGAGAAGCAGAGAGGGTTGGTCATACGACAAGCAAGTGGGACTGGGAGTGGGAGAGAGAGAGAGAGAGAGAGAGAGAGAGAGACAGGAATTCAGAGAGAAGGAGAGACGTAGTAAGAAATGTTGTGCTGGTTGGACGGGATGCTGAGGCATAGCGAAAGCGAGGGGGCAGCGAAAAATGGGAAAAATTCAGATGTGATATTCTGATTGGGAAATTTTAGATCTGGGTGGGAGATGTTTTAAAGCAACCTCTGCTATCTTTTCGACCGTGAAAAAGCACGAAGTTTTTCATTTTGTTAAAAAAATAACACGACTATTCTAAAGGGGCAGGAGGATATTCTAAAGGAGCGCAGTACCCCAGTACCGGAAATTACGACAGTTTGAATTTTCAGAGACAAGTCCTTCGACGAAACGGTCAAAGACATGACGTTCCGGTGCTTCCCGTCCCAGTCGTCCTCGCTCGAGGCCTACAGAAAAATCCTGAATCGAGGGCTCGAGACCGCCTACCGGGACAACGTCACTCAGAACACTTCCAGCGAGTTTTGGAGTGAGCCTGTTGTTAAGCAGGTATGGCCTTGCATTTTTCGGAATTCATAGAATTTGTGATCATACTGTGACCGCAATCATTGAGAGGTCGTATGTTTTATGTTTTATGTTTTCAGGAAGAACCAGAAATTCCGGAAGCCACTGAGACTTCCATCCCCACTGATCTTTCCAGCCTTCTCGGCTTGATTGAAGGTACACATTACATGCAATGATTATTTTATTGTATTTTTAGATCAATTGCCGCGCTATGAAGCGCCGGTGTTCGACGCGGTTACGGCCGAAGCGACGCTCAACGAATCCTTGGAGAGGGAGAACCGAAGCTGTCACGTAAGTGAATTTTCGGGTTTTGCTAACTGTCACGATTCCTGCCACAAGCTGGTCATATCTTTTTTTTAGCTGTGTGGAAAGTACATCAGTGGACGTTCACGGCATTCGCAGCCTAGCGCCTTCATGTCTCACATCATCACGCATGTCGATGTCAAGCTGTATGCCTGTTCTGGTTTGTAATTTTCCGGTTTTTATGTTAATATTTCTGATGCGTCTAAATTTTTTTGAAAGGATTGATATAAGTGAAACCAATCCAATTTCTTACAGAATTTTTAAAAATCTGTGAAATTATTATCTAATCAAGATAGAAAAGTAGATGGTATTATTTCCTTTTATTGAAGATTTGCTAAATTTATCTACATCGTAATAACCGCAGTTTTTTTAGTGTGCGGCCTCGAGCTGAAAACCGAGGACGATGTGGCAGATCATTGCAAGTCAAAACACAAGGGTCGCGGAAAGGCACTAGCTAGGTAATTATTTTTACCCTATTTGCTAAAGGGTTAAAAATTTCTAATTTTATTCAGCAAAAATGGCTCCGATCCTTTAAAACCCCGATCTTTTCAGCAGCGACAGCCTGGGCCGACAGATGAGCGAGATGACGACAAGGTGTTTCCCGCTCCACGTGCCCCTCATCGAGTCGTACCGGAAGAAACTGGGCTGGGGAGATGAGCGGACGCCGCTCGACGAGATCGTGCCCACCTTTGGGATGCCCAAGCGAAACAGCGACAGTGAGGTACGTTTCTAGGGCAGTCCTCTACCAATTTGGGCAAAAACCGGCGGGCGCTGGTCCCAGAAACGGGTCGGGGCGCTGGTCTAAGGGCTAGTAATATTGCATTTTTTTCGGCGCCTTCGGCGCCATTGTTGCCCCCTGATTAAAGAAGGCACCTACCTGATGTATTTTGGATGTGTTCTCCGTATTTTGAAATAAATATTTTTAATAAATTTTGTGTTGCATGTTATACGACGAAGCAGTCTAATTAAATTGAAGAGGATGATGACGAAAACCGAGCGGAGAAAGTACATGGACGACAATTCTCTAAAATTCATTCTTGCTAAACTTCCTATGTATTCCTACGGACTACAGACTACAGACCTATATATTCTTTCCACGTCAACGTCAGCTTCTGATTCATGCCAAATTTTATTCGACGCTTTCGACGGATGTAGCTCATCGTGACGTTCGCACTACAATTCTGGAATTAAGACGGTGGAATACTAAAAATCTTACATCATCCTGCCTAAACTTCTAATTCTTGCACCTGGAATTAATTTCATCGCAAACTTCAACTGAATAAGCGGCAAAAATTTAGAAATCGTCTACTACTGCTGCTACTAAAATTCAGAAAAAATTTGGAGCCGTTTCGAGTATCGTTTCGGAATTCCTAACCCCGGAACCTAACGAAAATCAGTTAAATCCCGTACTCGGCGCTCTTCTGGACGATCGCCCCCAAAGTCGTCCTCATGAATGTCCATGGTACCGTACACCTTAGGTAAAAAAATCTAAGCAATCCGATTCGTTTAAGGTACCCTCCGGGACCAGCGAATGTTTACCTTAAAAATCATCGACTTTGGGCATTGGACATGTTTTGGTCCCCGTTGACCCCCTTAACCTGAACCGATCAGGACCAAATTTGGCCTCATGATACTACAGAGTCTGCTTTGTCGGATCCCACAGCTATTTGCCCCATTAGTCTCATAACCTCGGAGATTGGGACCAGCGAATTTCGAATCTTTTGGGCGGACCTTTCAGTTTTTCCTGCCTAAGTCTTACATTTCGGATTTTCGTCGCCTGTCCTCTCTCATCCACAGAAAGCTTTTATTTCTCTTTATTTTGATATATAAATCATAAAATTCGGCCCCGAGTACGCGGAGCTACGGACCGGCGACACTTTGGGCGGGGTCCCGTTTCACACTTTTATTAAGGGTTTGGCACCTGAAAATTCATAACTTTTCAGTTTCTGCCTGGATCGTCCCCAAAGTCGTCCTCATGAATGTCCATGGTACCGTACACCTTAGGTAACAATATCTAAGCGATCGAATCGGTTTAAGGTACCCTCCGGGACCAGCGAATGTTTACCTTTCACACTTTTATTAAGGGTTTAGCCCCTAAAAAATCATAACTTTTCAGTAATAGTTCCGATATTTTTCAAAATTGCACAGCATAATGATCAAGACATATTAGACAATGTCTAAAAATATCTAAGCGGTTGGAGCGATTTAAAAGTACCCTTAGGGACCGCCGATACTTTGGGCATAACCCGTTTGGCTCCTTTCACCTACCTTTCACCGTCCCGAAGAGTGGCCTACAGAGCTCGGAACGTTTAGAAACTTTTACACATTGTATACGATAGCCTGCTAATCATGCTTAATAAATTTGGTGACGATAAAGCCAAGGACCGCAGCGATATGAATTTTGAGGTGCTAAACCCTTGATAAAGGTGTGAAAGGTAAACATTCGCTGGTCCCGGAGGGTACCTTAAACCAATTCGATCGCTTAGATATTGTTACCTAAGGTGTAAGGTACCATGGACATTCATGAGGACGACTTTGGGGACGATCCATGCAGAAACTGAAAAGTTATGAATTTTCAGGTGCCAAACCCTTAATAAAAGTGTGAAACGGGACCCCGCCCAAAGTGTCGCCGGTCCGTAGCTCCGCGTACTCGGGGCCGAATTTTATGATTTATATATCAAAATAAAGAGAAATAAAAAGCTTTCTGTGGATGAGAGAGGACAGGCGACGAAAATCCGAAATGTAAGACTTAGGCAGGAAAAACTGAAAGGTCCGCCCAAAAGATTCGAAATTCGCTGGTCCCAATCTCCGAGGTTATGAGACTAATGGGGCAAATAGCTGTGGGATCCGACAAAGCAGACTCTGTAGTATCATGAGGCCAAATTTGGTCCTGATCGGTTCAGGTTAAGGGGGTCAACGGGGACCAAAACATGTCCAATGCCCAAAGTCGATGATTTTTAAGGTAAACATTCGCTGGTCCCGGAGGGTACCTTAAACGAATCGGATTTTAGATTTTTTACCTAAGGTGTACGGTACCATGGACATTCATGAGGACGACTTTGGGGCGATCGTCCAGAAGAGCGCCGAGTACGGGATTTAACTGATTTTCGTTAGGTTCCGGGGTTAGAATTCCGAAACGATACTCGAAACGGCTCCAAATTTTTCTGAATTTTAGTAGCAGCAGTAGTAGACGATTTCTAAATTTTTGCCGCTTATTCAGTTGAAGTTTGCGATGAAATTAATTCCAGGTGCAAGAATTAGAAGTTTAGGCAGGATGATGTAAGATTTTTAGTATTCCACCGTCTTAATCCCAGAATTGTAGTGCGAACGTCACGATGAGCTACATCCGTCGAAAGCGTCGAATAAAATTTGGCATGAATCAGAAGCTGACGTTGACGTGGAAAGAATATATAGGTCTGTAGTCTGTAGTCCGTAGGAATACATAGGAAGTTTAGCAAGAATGAATTTTAGAGAATTGTCGTCCATGTACTTTCTCCGCTCGGTTTTCGTCATCATCCTCTTCAGTTTAATTAGACTGCTTCGTCGTATAACATGCAACACAAAATTTATTAAAAATATTTATTTCACAATACAGACGATCAATGTTATCGGTAGGACAGAAAAAGTACGGGTTTACATGCCATAATGATACATTTTCCTCATTTTTCTCCGAATTCTGATCGCTTTTTCAAAAAAATCTGCGCCGCTGCCGCGGCGCTGGTCTAACCCCCAGTCAGCCGCCGCCTGGCGGCGGTCCATTTGGGCACTTTTTCAAATCTCTAGCACACTGTTCTAGGGGGCTTTTGACTTTATGGATTTCCTCTAATTTTCCGCATTGCAAAATAAAAATGTTTGCCGTGATCGCTAAATTGAAAAGGAAAATTTGTAGTTTTTGAGGAGTTTCTAAATATTCCTCATTTTCAGCCGTACGTCTACAAGCCGCGGAAGGGCAAACGGAAGACCGGCGACCTCAAGGAGGGCGAGGAGATGTCCGTCTTTGACGCCATCATCACCGGCAACCTGCATGTACAACACGCCAAGGAGGTTCGTGTCGGAAAAGAGCGGCTCCGGGCTTTTGCTCAAAGATGATTTTCGCCTCAAAACTTTGAACTATTGCTGATGCCGAGGAATCAGTGTTAGACCAACATTTTTGAAACATCTTTTTTTTCAGAAAGCCATTCGCCACCTCCTCGACACCACCATCCTCGGCGTGCCACTGGACCCGAAGCCAGAAGAAACGGCAGTACATCAAAAATCAATGATTGGTGCGTTTTCTTTAACATTTCCCGGCTGCAGAATTCTTGGCGGTTTATTTTGTAGTTTTGACATTTTTTTTTAATCTATTCCGTGCAAGCGAAAATTTAGATGCCGGCTGCGACGAGAATATCGAAGATCTATTCCCGCGAGAATCGTCGCCTCCGACTCCCGAAGACCCGGTAGCTTTTTTCAGCAAATTTTTGAATTTTGATTTTTAGGAAGAGCTCGCCTCGGAAATTGCCAAACTTCGCGCACTGGTGAAGAAGCGTGACGCGGAGATCAAGGACATGGATAAGAAATTGGTGAGGGTTTTTAAAATTTGCAAGAACGATTTTGGATAGAAAATTCCCTTGAACCAAAAAACAAAACCAAGTAAAACCAAATCGCTTTTTAAAAAAAATTTTAGGCGTTTTTGAAGTGTAGCTTCTAAGTGATCTGATTACTTGGTTGTAGCGAGTCTACGGAAACAGGGAAAATTAGGTCCATTGCCTCGCCTCTCCGTTAAAATGGCATTCCTTTATTTTTGCGTCAGACGCCATCGTAGAATCATGCCCAATACCAGGGATTCAAAAGCACGATTAGCTAAAAAATATTTTCTTTGGTAGTATAATTTTACTATCTCCCTTTTAGGCGGTCGAACAAAAGTCGCGGGCCGAGCTGAAGGCGCGCAACGTGCAGCTCGAGACGCAAATGAACGCGCTCGCGACCAAGGCCAATCAGGTAATTTTATTTTAGATTCCTTTTTATTCGATTTTTGCAGCTCTACAAACTGATCGGCGACAAGAGCACGGAAATTATGGTGCTGGAGATGAAGGTACGGGATTTTCGTGATTCTGACAATCTGTATGTTTAGAAAGACGACCTGATCGGCGCCCTCAAGAAGGTCGACCCGAAGGCCGCAAAGAAATTCGCGTGATATATCTGTGTAAACAAATCTAATTTTTTTTGCTTGTCATTTTTGTGTCGTCACATTCCGCAGAGTATTGCCAAAAAGATACAATAAATTGTTTTATATTAATTTCGAGGTGGCCCATTGATAATTGCTATCGTGTTGCAAATAATTTATTTGGGAAATTTACTACTTTAGTAGTAGATCTTCTTGAAGAATTCCATGGCTAAAAACTGCTAATTTTTAGCCTTTTCCGGCTTTTAGAAATAAAATATGAACGTTTTAGAACTAAACTTGTTTTTTTTCGGGGTTGATAGGTAGGTTTGTCTGAATCTCCCTTGGCCGGTTAGAGAGTGTAGACGCAGACAAAGGGAGTCGCGACGCGTATCTGTCCTCAGGCGGTTACGATGCTAAATGAACCAGAAAAATAGGATTTGATAAATGTCCAGCGATTTCACAAATTTAGGTTATACTTTTGCAAAAATTAGTTGACTGTTTATATTCGGGAAATTGTTAGTGCTTAGTCGGTGAACAATAAAAAATATAATATTCGTGACACTATTACACACGAATTTCGTGTGTAATTTTTTTGGGAGGGGTGTAACCCGAATTCGTCGGAAACTTTTCAACTGGAACCCCGAAAATTCGGAAACATCGTTTTGAACAAAAAAAAACCCGAACCTTACGATATGTGATTTTGTCCATAACCAAACCTCTTTGATTGGATTGCTCAATGCTATTTCCTTTTTATAACGCTTTTTTTTGGTTAAAAGACTGTCCTGGCTTCATTGATATTTGAACTTTCGAGACAGCGGAAGACATTACGACTTTACCTTCCCTTCTAATCGCCATATTTCCAAAAACATGTTTTTCATGCAGTCTTTTAGCACCGTAAATTCGTCAGCCAAGATGCCGGACGAGGCGAGCTGCTCCAACATACCGGACATGTTGAACTTGTTCAACCTGCCGCCCGTCGAGGCTGAGGAGGACGGGGAGGACCACGATGAGGCGCCGAAGGTGGGATTTTGCCTGAATTTTGAATGTTTCACTTATTTTCCGGACCGGTGTTTTTGATACGACCCTAATTAAAATGGCACATTATACATTTTATCAGGTTGGAAAGAAAGTAATGGCATAAAATCTTTAAACCGCTGTAAAAACCCGCAGTAACGTCCGATTTGAAAGTTTGATACATGGTTTGGTAGATCTTCGGATGCTCTATCACGAGACAATCCTCAAAACACCCAAAAACTAATGTACGCGAAAATACAGGCCTCAGAAGTTTCACGGAAAATTAGGTGAAAGCTTCTAAGCGAGATATCTTTGCGTACAGGCATTTGCATACGATACTTTTAACACCAATCGATAGCCCTCGAGGAGTAGATATCGATAAACGTTGAGATCATCAAAATCGGACACTGCATGGCCGAGATATGCCCCCTAGAAATTTGGTCCATTTCTTAGAACTTTTCTCGAAATCCCATACATTTAGGCCTGCGCGAGCCAAAAACTGCTGCGTTTGCTTCAGCTCCCGAACCAAAAATCCAGAAAATGCATTGATTTTGGAAGGCCCATATCTCGGCCATCCAGTGTCGGATTTTGATGATTTCAACATCTATCAATATCTACTCCTCGAGGGCTATCGATTGGTGTTAAAAGTATCGTATGCAAATGCCTGTACGCAAAGATATCTCGCTTAGAAGCTTTCACCTAATTTTCCGTGAAACTTCTGAGGCCTGTATTTTCGCGTACATTAGTTTTTGGGTGTTTTGAGGATTGTCTCGTGATAGAGCATCCGAAGATCTACCAAACCATGTATCAAACTTTCAAATCGGACGTTACTGCGGGTTTTTACAGCGGTTTAAAGATTTTATGCCATTACTTTCTTTCCAACCTGATATGTTTTGTACTGAATTCTTGGCTTTTTCGCGGATTTTTTGGGTAGTTTTTTCCTTTATTGATATTTCGATCGAATCCATCAAACAAGCGTTGGGCATAAAATAAAATTCAAAAAAGAATTTTTATGGTTGGCTAGCGGGTTCTAATGCCAATGTTTCATGAATTTCCCGCATCCTTTTGCCTTAATTTCGGCCGATAGTGAGAGCTCGCTGCTCGATGAAATGAGATGTGTTTCTCGTTTTTTTTTCACAAAGTTTCTGTCGCGTATTCGTTGATGAGCTTGGCTTAGGCATAGGCTTCTTTCTGGCTTGAGAAGGTCAAATTCGGACACCCATATTAATCATGTGGATTCCAGAGAAGAAGCCATCCACGAGCTGCCAAGCGCGGCGCCGATTCGTCACCCGAGAAAGATAGCCCGAAGAAACCGACGAAGCACAGAACTGAAGAGAAATCACCGGTATTTACCACTGGCAACATTTTATCGAGTAATTTATTCTAGTCGTCAAAATCGACAAATCGGGCCGGTTCGCAGGAGGGTGTTGACGATGATGAGGTTGGTACTTGCTTTTCCGAATTTGGTATTTGAAAACGACCGGGAGTGCTTTTATGCTCTAAGGAAAATTTGAATTTCCAAGCATGTTCAGCGTATTTGGCAGCGATTTATAGGTCCAGCATCTGTTTTGTTTTAGTCGTCTATATTGCATTCCTTTGGCCTATTACTCAGAAAATGATTAACCAATGGCTTAGATAAGACAAAACATTATTTCAGCATTACATCTACTGTTAACACCAATGTATATTTGGAGATTATTCTGATAAAACAAACATTGGTGTTAGCGGAAATCAAGTGTAAAAAAATAGCATTGCTGTTTCCAAATTTTAACCGCTTAATTCAGGCAATCACCGGCGGTCACCTGGATTGGGGCCAAATTTTCGAGACGGGCACAACGGAGGAGCGCACGGCGCGCCAAGCACGTCTCTCCGACGCGGGCAGGTCGCCGCGAGAGAGCGGTCCGCGGCAGTTTCGCCCGGACAAATGCAAGGTTTGTTCTGAATCTAATGTTTTTTTAATCTGTCTGGATATACCTACGATTAAAAAAAGATATCTAGGTTTTTGAAAAGTGCATCTTCCAGAAATTCTTGCGAGTTCAGCAAAGGGTTAATTCTAATGTGAATCGTATTCGGAACGGAATTGATCGTGAAAATTTATTTTCTTATATGCTATCAGCTGAAACATACTATCCTTTAGTCCTTGCAGAAATTGTGCTCTTAATATGGCTGTTTTTAAATATTTTTAAAACTGAAACGGGTTTCGTTTTTTTGTATCGGGTAGTTTTTTGTGGATTCGATTAGAATTCGGACAATTCTCGGCATTAATTATAACCGCTTCAAAAACGTTATATTTTTCTTGGCCAAAGCAACATTCAAGATAAGAGTAACGCCATTCGATAGAGCGTCGAAAAATATACTAAGAGTTTTAATTTGAGCCTACAATAATGTAAAATAAAAAAGTTATAGCCAAAAACTTCCGGCTGGGGGGTAAAGTAAACCGTAGGCACATTCAATTGACGAATCGAAGAAGTGACCCATCCCCGGTAAATAATCAAAACATATCTTCCGCATTGCAGGTCTGCCAATTCCAATACAAGGGCTCCGCGGCGAATATCTGGAATGGACTGTCTCAGCACGTGTGGACGCATATGGACGAGAAACGATATGTATGCACTAAAGGTAGGTGTTAGCAGCTATTTAAGCGTAACAATCGGCATTTCCGACTTTATTTAAGTTAGATAAAAGATAGCGAATTGGCTTACATAGAATGTTTAATTTCTGGCCGACTTTAACTTTTGGATTCTTTGAAATTACTTAGCTTTTTCGATCAGTTTGGCTGTATTGTGACAGTTACGCGCGCATTGGTGGAAAAGCAATTAATTGTGATGGCTTTTCAGCAGAAACGTTTTTATTTTTCGGCGCTAGTTTGGTGCCCGATTTGTTGAACTTGCAAAAAAACTTTAAAAAATTCTTCTTGACCGTAGACATTTCCAGGCTGCGGCTTCCAGTCGGGAAAACCGACGAATCATACCTGCTCGGCGTTGACAGCCGCCGAGAAGAAGAAGCATGGCCCGTACGGGGATTACAAGGATGTTTTGTAAGTGTTAGTCGCCATTAATTTTCTGCTGAAAACTGGAAAACCAAATAAAACCATATACGGAAATATAGAATATTTCTTGGAAGGGGCGAGCCCGGAGCTATAAAAATCAATTTAGATTATTCTTCTTTTATCTTTCTTCTTTTTATATAAATTTAAGTTCAAATTAATAGAAATATTGGAATTTAAAAGAGAGTAGCACTTCCAGGATTAATATAATGTACACTAGCTCTGATTTTCATAATATTCGCACCACGACAAGCAGCATAATTCCAAGAAAAATTTTCCGAAAATGCCGAATTTTTATGAAACACCCCTTTTTTCAGAAGCCGAAAGCTGTTCGGGAAATACCTGTCCCAGCTCGACATTTGCTTCCCGAGGAGTGCCACCCAGCTGCACGCCTTTGTGCAACGGCAACTGCAAAGCTTCAAGTTCAAGGAGGTCGGTTTTGGAACTTTATGCTATTTTAGTTGCATAAAAGCCTTGTTCAGCTAGCCGGTAGATGGGCAACTTTCAAAAAATTAAATGTCTTTGGTTTTTTGGCATTTTTAAGGGAATCCTGAAGTGCAAGCTTTGGACGGCTAATTTTTTAGCAAATAATAAAAAATTTGAAATCAAAGCAAGAAGCTACTATAATGTGTTTCACTATAAGTAGTGCGGAAACTCTCAGGAGCTATACCAATATCTGTTGTATGTACTCCTCTTATGTGAACGCAGTTTTATAGCGTAACCGGTTCACAGGCTTAGACCCGGAAGTTTTTCACTCCAATTTTCGAACAAATGTATTTTGAAATTTCAAAAATCCGGTCTAATGATTATAATTTAATAAAAGAAAAGAATTTGATAAAAAACCATGTTTGGTCGCCAGATTTTTATAATTTATTTATTTTTCTAGGAATCACCGAACAAGCCGGAGGCTCATCCGAAGAAGCCGAGTAAGAAAGACGGACAAAGCAAAACATGTCAGGTAGGGCAATTGCTAATTTTATCCGCTTTTAAAGGGAAAAGGAAGGCATAGCTATGGATTTTTGCGAGGATTTTATGCATCTGGGTATTAGGTTCCAGCAGGGGGAAACGAATTTTCCCCCTCTAATCCTGCACGGTCAAAATATAACGCATTTTTATTGCATTTACACGGGAACCTATATAATTGCTGAAAATTCCACTTTCGGTCAAAATATATAAAAAATTACCAAGAAGATAACTGATCTCACTATACAACAACGATGCTAATTATCCTGTTTTGGGTTTGCAGCAGTGGAGTGTGGATAAAACACTTTTTTTCTGACGAATTTCTTTTTTAATTCATTAAACTGGTATTTCAGGTGTGTCACAAAGTGCTGACAAGCCGAATGGCCGCCTACCAACTCATCCACCACGCCCTCAACCACATGAAGGTCAAGCCGTGGAGCTGTCCAGGTGCGTTTGAATAAATTTCTATAAATTTGCTGCGTTTTTGTGAAGTTTAAAACACTAGAAAACCATTTTTTACTTTGCTTTCATGATTTCCTAGCAATATGCATTTCGCTTAATTGATTTAACGATTAAAATTTTCAGGCTATGGCCTCCTATTTCGCGAAAGCAAAACTTTTCAGTGAAAAACAAGGTTTTCAAAAACGAACGTAGCCAATGTTTGCCCGGAGCCGATATTTTCTTTCCATTTCCTTGCTATTGGTGTAATTAATCTAAAAATATATATGTTAATTGTTATATTTCCGGCAGCTAAAAAATATGGGTCTCCAAGAAAATAATTTTGGAAAACGTAGGAAACAGAAAAATCGAGTTTCAAAAATGCCTATGTCGGGCGGTTGTACGACGCGATTAATAGATGCATTCAAAACGCTACAAGCATGATGTCATGAATATTTTAAGTCCTGGGAAGAATTTCAGTTTTATGCTCGAGTAAGTCTAGGGAATTTCAATCAAGATTTTGCGTTAGGACTTTAAATTCATTCATCATCCATAAGATTAGTGGAAGGGGGGACACCCGTTGAGGAATATGTTTCAAAAATTGTCACGGAGAGCTGTTTCGCGGATTTAATGATTTTCAGCTGATTTACTTTGTCTTGCTAGGCTTACCGACTTATAAAATTGTCGTAGTGTCCAATTAATAAATACAAGTTCTAGATTGCGATGTCACGTCGCGTACGAAATGGCCGATAACGACGCACATTCAACGCGAGCACAAGGGCGTCGGCGAGCCGGTGGATAGCAGGTAAGGTCTTTTTCACATGAGGTAATCTCGAATTGGTACCGTAATGTCGAAATTTCATAGTATAAATTCAAAATGTCGAAATTTACATAGGCTAATATTACCGGTGAAGCCTTGAAGCCCCCCTATTTTTTTTGCTCTGAATTCGGGGACTTTACCGGGATTTTTAGCTTATGTAAATGTCGACATTCTGAATTCCGACATTATGAAATTTCGACATTATGATTTTCGACATTTTGAAAATAAGCCGCCGAATTCTACAAGGGTGGAAGGAACGTAGCTGTAACCCACTAGATGAATATTTCGTTACCCGATCTCTTCCAGAACCGACGACTACTTCCGTGAAGCGGAAGAGCTTGCGATAAAATGCTTCCCCCATCACGTGCTGGCCATCCAAGCATCGATGGCCGCCCAACGAACGTCGAATGACGATGAAAAGGAGGAGGAGGATGAAGGGAGAAATGGAAGTGATGAAGAGGAGGAGGAGGTCGAGGAGCAGGAGGACGAGGTGCAGGAGAAGAAGAAGCCGGAAAAGAAGAAAGAGGATGAGGTGGATTAACTTATATAATTGGTTGTTTTATATAATATGCTGTATGTTGGTTTTATATAATTTTCCATTCCATGCCGTAACTGATTGCGATCCCTTCAGATCCAGATCCAGATGAAAGTCCAGAGGCTATCCTGCGGCCCCTTTAAAGTTTAAACCATCCTTTTTCAGGTAGATGCGGCGACATCAGCGGCAATTTTGGAAGCGATGTACGGCGGCCCGGACTCTCCACCCCCACGACGCCAACTTCGAGCCCGTAAACCGGCTGCCCCACCGCCACCGCCAATTGAAGAACCAAAAGGTTGGATACGGTTTAGAGCATATTTACCTTAAACAATAAATCAATAGTTTAAACTCAAGATATTTCAGTTGAAATTATGCCTCCTCGTACTAATATATAAACTATTCAGGAAGACGCGCGAGCGGACGTGTCAAGGATCAGCATGCGAAGTCCGTGAATGTAAGGCAATTTTTTTTGCAAAAATATGATACAGGTTTTTGAGGTGATTCTGGGGTTTTTAGGGTTATCTAATTGTCGCAACTTGGTCAGAGGACACCTCTGTTTGGGATTATAAAGGGATCGGCAAGGCAGAGCTATGCATCTTTGATTTGCGATAATTCAGCGATTCGATTTCGTTAATTTACACTTTTTTGCAAAAAATGTGTTTCACCTTTTCAAAACGCCGGGCGTTCCTGGTTTCTTCTAATGACATGAGGGCTCAGGTGTTTTTACTAATTCGAAAGCGACCCTCCTCATAATTATTTTCAGAGCCTTGTTGTTCTGGAATTTGGCCGCTAATGCAGTTCAGGGGGGGGGGGCGTCCGAAATTGGTAGCAAGAGGTTACGAGGCACTACTTCGTTTATTTTGCTTAACCCTAGGCTCATCTTATTTTGACTTTGCTTAGCGTAGGCTTAATCTATGAAGTCAAGCTTAGGCTTAGGCTTAGCGTAGCTTTTCCGGGCGCTTAGAATAAAAAACAGCATTGGAGCGTCTTGTCGTCAAAATCCGGACTTCTCCCCCAACGGATTTCGCATCTAGGCACCGGTTGATTCAAGAAGTTTTCGATTTTGTTGTGACCCTACGAAAATAAGGGTTTCGACCTTCAAACGATTTGGTCGTTTTATCCAAAAAAGGAAAGACTCAAGCTCGAATCGAATTTATCCATTTATCGGAAAAAATATGTTTCAAAAATTTACCTGGCTTGCCGCAGTTCAGTTGGGTCAATCCGCGGTCGTTGGGAATTGAAAAAGCGACATTAAAATATAACAAAATTGCTCAGAAAATCAAAGTTAATTGACATTTTATTTAGCGGAAAGCCCTGACGGCGGAATACAACGAGTTGCGCCAGCTGCTCCGCGAAAAAGACATGCAGTTGGCCAGTATGCGACAGAGATTGGTAATCTTATACTTTAAGGTAAAAAAATCTATGGTTCTAGGAAAATGAAGAATTGGCGCAGGTGGATTTGCTCAACGGAAACGTCGAGCTTGAGGACCAGATCAAGAAGCTTGACGTCAAGCAGGAAGATGTAAGGCTAAAAATATTATTATTTCGCTGTTAATGCAGTACTGTACATTATACATGGGTCGACGCTTGCATGCGCCGCATAAGCGTGGCCGGCCACGTTCTTCCGGAGCGTGGAGAGCCACGCTGGCGCGCGTGCCTCTTAATAAACCACGCCGAAATGAGCGTGGCTCGCCACGCTCCGGAAACGCTTATGCAAAGCTGCTAAAAATGCAAAATCAAAGTTTTCCAAGGGACATGAAAGCAAAAATCGATCCGTTTCGAGAATTTAATTAACAAGAAGTTGAATGACGATCTATCTTGTTTATTTATCAAAATTTAAAGATGACCTGATAGTTATGTATCGGTAATTCATTTTTGCAAATCGAAATCATAAATAGATGTCCTTTAAATTTTTGATTTGCATCTGGAGTTAAATCGCGCGCGTGAAAAAAAGCACGCATAAAGCGCCGCATAAGCGTGGTCCTCCACGCTCCGGAAGAGCGTGGCCAGCCACGCTTATGCGGCGCATGCAAGCGTCGACCCATGTATACTGTACATTATAATACGTCCAGGTTAAAAAAATTTGGCAGCTAAAAATGTTCGCTTGAAATAAGGTACTGGACCGTTAGCGGGGGGGGGGTTTCCGCAGTACTCTCGTACGACCCTCGTAAAAAATCATGATTTTTGATAGCATTTTAAATCGTTTTTCAGGTATACAAACGCCTAAAATTAGAGTAATTTCGAAAATATATTTTTGGCTTAAGTTTAATTAAAAGTAAAACTTTTTCAAGAGGTTTACTTATCGATTTAAATTTAATCTGGACGTGGCTTTAAATATGCATAGAATGAAGTAAAAAAGACCGTAAATAAAAAATCTAAGTTTTAAAATGGTCCGAAACTCGAAATTTTAAGTTTGTTAATAGAAAATTTCCGAAAAAGGGTGTTTCGTAGTTTTTCATGGTTTTTTATACTACAGCCGGTTTAATGTTTCGACCAGCCGGTCTTCTGATGAATTATGCATTTTTTGCAGCTCTACCAGCTTCTGGGCAACAAGAGCTCCGAAATTATGGGACTCGAGATGCAGGTTTGGTCTTACACGTCCCTTTAAATTTGCCTACATATCTACCTGATCAAAAAATATTTTCTATGAATATAATTAAAATTAAACATAATCTAATTTTAGACGGAAAACCTACGAACGGCCCTCGAAAAGGTGGCCCCGGAGATTGCGGCAAGGATGGGATAAATTAATGATTTTCAAGGGAATTTGGTGACGTAATAAATTTTGTGTTTCATAATTTTTTAATTCGAACAGTAGTAAACATTGAAGCTGCACAAGAGTCGGCAATACCAAAAATTGTTGTAACACGATTTTTCAACAAAAAATTGTGTATATTTCGTTAAATCGTCAATGATTAGCTTTTTGCTGCTTACTGTAAAGTTATATATGTAATTTTAACTTTAACTTTAACATTATGAACAATTGTATCTCCTGACTGGTCAGTAGGATTAAAAATTTATGAAACATAAAGTTTGGAGAAAATAAAGAGAAAAGGTAAGCAATGGTACTGCAAGTCTGATGTAGGCGCACGTATTAACTAGGCGTAACGCACGGCAATACCAAACATCGTTGTATCACAATTTTTCAAAAATTGGATTTTCAAAAATTTAGGCAACCATTTTGTTAACACACCACGTTAGATTTTTTTACTATAGGATGTGCAGACCGTTAAGCTATAAAAATCATTTGAACTTTATAAAGTAAATCTATCATTATAAACCTAAGCATGAGATATAGATTTGGCCCAAGAGCGCATGTGAATAAACTGGATTTTCAGACGGTCAGTAAGCCTATAAAATGTCCGAAACATAATTTTTTTATGAAGCTAATGTAAAAGAAAAAAAAGCGACGGTACAATTGAATGCAAAATAAAATTTCTTAATTTGTGTATCACAGCTTTACATTGAGGAAAACTGTTTAATTTGATGAACTTATTGATGAAATTCATCACTCAAAAACTGCTTGAAGTCATGAAACGTCGATTGATCAGTTTAGAATATATGGCAGCACCGGTTTTTCTGAAACAGCTTTTTTACAAAATGTAACGCAACATTTTGTAACTTCAGTTACCAAAGTTACTATAACATTTAAGGTACTTTCGCATTATCGGGGTGGGGAATCAAATTTTCCTTATGATCCAATTTTCTAATATTGATAGCGGAAGCGCTTCTAAACGATTTTTACTAAATTTTTCCTGTTGAAAACTTCAGAAATTTTTAGAGAAGGCTTTTCCACTTAAAATATAGTTAAATTTTGCTGTAAAAATTACCGGCACATTCCTAAGTTTCTCTCTTCCCGCCACCCTCCCCCCCCCCCCCCCCGATAATGCGAAAGATCCGCACGGAATTTGGATAACAGGAAGAAATGAGGAAGAAACTATTTAAACAATTAGCTGTTTAAATTTAGATCAAGATTATACTTTTTATCTTGGCAATCTATTTTTTTAATTGATGTAGTTATGAGAATTGATTCGAAGATGATGATGCATTAGATCTAGCAATACGGCTGTAGCTATCGAATTTTCTGAAACACCTTTATTTCAGCACGCAATTACACAAAACAATCTGACACAATTTCTCGCGAAGGGTACTGTATAAATAAAGCGCATCAAGTCAAGATATGGAAATCTCACGGTAGATATCGTAGTACCACGTGGGTTGAAAGAGAGCAATAAAAAAAATAAAATATACGGAAGGAAATAGAAAAACATGTTGCAGCTCAAACTCGAGATCGCGTTACGGAAATGTTGGGTATTCAATTTAGATGAAACGAGTTAAAACAAAAAAATTGCACCAGGAAAGCGATAGTGTCATTTTTAGACGAAACGGAATCATGGATATGAAAGTACTCGATAGGTAGAATTATTGGACAGTTAAATAACATTATAAAGTTATTTTAAACAACTTTCTCATTAAAAACATGCTAGATTCAAAAAATTAATAATTAAAAGCAAAAAATTCAAAACGAAACATTTTTAATGGACTTGGAACAGGCCAAATCTCAAGCAAATTACTTAAGAACTGTACGTTAGGATTCAGCGATTAAGGTACTCCAAAAATTACGGCATTTTTTTGCTTTTTCAAAATTGCGAATTTTGAAACACTTTAAATGCCGTAATCATTTTAGAACTGACAATTGTCGAATTGTCGGACAATGGTGTTGTCGAATTACGATTAGCCAGCCCCTTTTCCTCGATAATAAAACGTAAACTTATAATTGAAGGCATATGAGGGCATATATTGCTGCATAATAGTCTCCGATGATTTGGGAAATCATGGAAACATTAATTTTTTATTTTCTAGAAGTTTAAGCGAAACAAAAAAGAAACAAATTGTCGATCAGTTCGGGCTACACGCATAAAAAATTAAATTCCGTAAAAAATCAAAATGATTAGACTGAGGAATTTCTGGTATTACCCCAACTTAAAAATTTTTGAAAATGAAATTTTTTTGTAGCATATTTTCGCTAGACATTGACGATAGAACATTGGTTAAATGAGTCCATTAAAAACCGGTCTGGAAGGTCCACGGAATTAAGGGGAATCAATAAAATTAAGGTTTCGCATTATCGCGGGCGGCGGGCTAATTTTATCCTACAAGTTCAGAAATTGGTAAGTAAGTAAGTAATTGTAATATCAAGTGGTTTAATAGCTTAGTAAAGTTTAACCATATTAGCGAAAACTATCTAAAACGTGGACAATTTTGGATTTTGGTCGAAAATCGGCATTTTTATTCAAAATTGTAAATTCTACGCTTAAAAATAGCAAACAAGGTCCCGCGATAACGCGAAAGTGTTAAACCCCAGCCAATTGCCGTGATATTTTCCACGCATCACTTTGAAAATTTTAGAAACATGGAATTTCTACTCCATCATCTCGGCATTTTCGCGGAGACTGTTGACGTGTTGGTGGAAGGAGAATTGCACAAAATTGTTCTGCATATCCTCGAGCTCTTCGGTTACGGTAGCGAGGGGGCCGGCACGGGCTGGGGGCGGCGTCAGTTGGACGGCCTCGGAGGTGAATTCCTGCAAATTAATTAATTTTATTTGTTTAGTTATCTTTATTTTCGCTTTCTAAAGTCCTCAAAGATTTCTGCTAGCTTGCCGGGATGTGGTCATCCCTAATGTTCTCTGCTAGCCTGCCCTAACGGGAAAATTAACTCGAAACACAGTTCAATCGTTGGCAATACTAATTCATTTTAGCATTCTGTAAGGATCTGTGCCAGACTGCCTAAATCTGGATCCCTAATGGTCCCTGCTAGCTTGCCTTTGCTTGCTTGCAAAACAAGTTGAAATCGAACTGAATATCTTAAACATCATTAATTGATCTTGGAATTTCCTCAAGAATCTGTGCCAGTTTGCCAAGACCAGGCTCCCTAATGGTCTATGCTAGCCTGCCTTCATGCGAAAGTCAGCTAAATTTTAGAAAATAATTAATTGATTTTAGAACTTCCTCAAGGATCTGTTCGATTGCTGAAACCTGATTCCCTAATGGTCTCTGCCAGCCTGCCCTAAAATTACAATTAGGCTGGATTTTCGAACTAGCTTTGTTTTCCCAAAGGATCTCCACTTGCTTGCCTCTAAGACCCAAAAATGATATTACTTACCTTATCAAAATACGAAGTATCCGTCTCCGACGTGACCAACGGCTTGAATGGCGGCTCAATCTCCTTGTTATACAGTTTTTGCCAGTCGATTGGGGCAAAGAAGTCGTGCTGTGTGATCTCAAGAGCATCATCCGGTCCGCCGCCAAGCCTAGAATTCTTTCAATGAACGGTTAAAAGGAGTTTCAGAATTTGGGTGGTAAAAACCGCGAAAAAAGCTGGCTAATACTTCGTCGTTTGTATTTTTTTGAGTAATTTGAAAAATTTTTGATTTGAAAGGCTGTTGGAATTCTGCTGTCGGGATTTTCAGTCTATCCGTATTTTGGAAGTCTGGAATTTGAAAGTCCGTTCAATTTCCATTAATCGCCCCGATCCTTGTTTTATTGGAATATATGATGAAACAAATTTTTTATCTTCAGTAAAATGCCGGTGCCCCAAGAATTTTTTAAGGTCACGAGTCGGTATTCTGTCGGGATTCTGGCCTGTTGGTACTTTGGCAATTTGTAAATAGCACCCTGTACACCCGTTTGCGTAACTGCCGATAGTGCGTGTCGGTGGGTAGTTACGCAAACGTTTCTCTGCGTAGCTGGCCACCTACCACGTGGGAATGCCGGGGGTATTTACTAGCTAAATCCCCCGCTAAGAGTATAGAACCATAAAGCCTTTCATGCTGCTTCAAAAACAAGGAATAGGTGCGGCGGAGAGTGAAAAAATAGCTGGGATGGAAAAAGAAAATTTATATTTACTCCTTCAACCGCATTAATAGTACTCCCGAGATGCCTTTTTAATACGATTTTTTTTGGAAACATAATTTTTCGTTAAAGCATTCTTCTCTAGATTACGATACCGTTGCGTGGGGTCCTTGACGAGCAGCCCGGTGAGCAGATTCTTGGCCTCGGGGCTGAGTTTGGAGGGGAAGCGCAGCTCGCCGATCATGATCAGCTCGAACAGCTTTTTGTGGTCCTGAAACAAAAAATATTCTCAGGATAGAAAATATGTTTCAAAAATTTTTAAAGTTATGGGATGTTGGGAATGGTCAATACCAATTTCCGAGAAAGAATGCTGTCAGCAAATAATAAAGGATAAAACTGAGAAGTTTTGAAAATTTTGCTATGGCACAAACCTGGCCATCCTTTTGGTTACAAAACGCTCTCTTTGAATTAAAACAAATAATAGTCTCTATGTGATTTTGCCCAAAAAATGTTTCGAAAAGTTTTATAGTGTGGTGGGGAATTTGCGCCCTATTACCAGTTAGTACCAACGAACCAAATCAATTAGCTCTTTCCATTTTCTATCTTGAATGGTTTTGTGTTTTTTATCACAAAACCCCGGAAAAGAGCTTATTTATGCGAGATCCACATTTATTGCAATTTTGACGTGGAAAACCGCGCGGTTTTTCGCAAAACGTTGAATATCAAGTCAAGAAGTTAAGATCATTTTAAGAAAAGGAAGCCCGCTTTTAAGCTAATCTTTGTGTTTGATAAAAAAATGTTTTGATCGTGCAAGTGGGGCGGGTGAGATTGCCTTTCGGAATTACTGTGTGTTTTCTCGCAATAATATTTCGAATTTATTTGGTGGGAT